ATAACCATAACATTGTATCATTCCAGTTGTCTTCATGTAATTACAAATCACATTTGGAAGAGAATACCTGTTCTAACCTTATGTTTGTGACTAGGCTATGAAATATTTGATTTCTAATGGACCAAGTAGTTCTTTATTTGTTAGCCACAGTTTAGTTACAGTGGGAATTAGTTTTATCCTATCAAACATCTTTAAAAGTTCTTTTATTTGGTTAGACCACTTCCCTTTCTTGTTTCATGAATATTGGATGCTAGTGTGTCTCAGAATTTGAGATGAGATTCAGATTAGATGTTAGGAAAAGCTTTTTCATAGTTAGGGCAGTCAGGCACTGGAATAGGTTGCCCAGGGTGGTCACCATCCCTTGAAGTGTTTCAGAGGCATCTGGATCTGATGCTGGAGAACGTGGTTTAGGGGTTACAGCAGAGTGGCAGGTTAATGGTTGGACTTGATGATCTTAGAGTCTGTCTTCTCCAACCTTGATGATTCTACGATTCTATGAAAATATCTATTGTGAGTTTATAATAATAACTTAATAGAGGAACACAGAATGGCTTCTTGTATTAGAAACATAATCCCATTTCTTTGGCTGAGATTTTTCAGCTAAAAAAAAGTCCATTTGATGTAGCCTCAGATCTTCCAAAGTGCGTGGGGGGGAAAAAGAACTGAGGGTTCTGGTTGACAGCCAGCTAAACATGAGCCAGCAGTGTGCCTGGGTGGCCAAGAAGGCCAGTGGCATCCTGGCCCATATCAGCAATAGTGTGATCAGCAGGACTAGGGCAGTGATTGCCCCCCTGCACTGGCACGGGTGAGGCGCCTTGAGTGTTGTGTCCAGTTTGAGGCTATTCACTGCAAGAAAATCATTGAGGTGCTGGAACAAGTCCAGAGAAGGGCAGTGGATCTGGTGAATTGTCTGGAGCACAAGTGTTACAGAGAGCAGCTGAGGGACCTGGAGATGTTCAGCCTGGAGAAAAGGAGGCTCAGGGGAGATCTTACTGCTCTCTACAACTACCTGAAGGGAAGCTGTAGTAAGGTGGATATGTCTTCTGCCAAATAGCAAGCAATAGGACAAGAGAAAGCAGCCTCAGGTTTCACCTGGGGAGGTTTATATTGGATATTAGGGAAAGTTTCTTCACTTTCACTGGAGGGGTTGTCAAGCATTGGATCAGGCTGCCCAGGAAAGTGGTCAAGTCACCAATTCCTGGAGGTATGTAAAAGATATGTATATGTGGTGTTTAGGGACATGGTGTAGAGGTGGACTTGGCAGTGTTAGACTTTTGGTTGGACTTGATGATCTTAGGGGTCTTTTCTAACCTAAGTAATTCTGTGGTTCTACAGAATAGCATTTTTCCCCTCCTTCCTTTATAGACCATTTTGAAACGGTTTTCTCCTTCTAACTTGTTTTTAAAAAACCATAGTGCTATTTTAGCTTTGTTATATGCTGTTGTTCTTGTACGCTGTTATCTGATGTAGATCATATTGAGGTGGTTTTAATTTTTTGTAATTTTAACATTTTTGCTGTTATCTATACATTTTCTGCACTTTGATCTAGTTAAAGGTTTCCCTGCTGTAAGGCAGTGTTGACATTTGTGGAGATCATCCTATTCTCTCTCTATGACACTACCACATTTCTTGTTTTAGTTACCCAGAAATGAACATGCAGTTATTTTAGGGGTCATTAGAAATAGGCACTTTAAGAGTTTATTATGTCCTAGTTCTTAATACAGTTGCTTTGTATGTAAATTAGTCTAATAACAAAATGCCTTTTGTTTGTATTTGTGTGTGTGTTGAAAATCTTCAGAGAAATGTTTTGGATTGATTTACTTTCTTTACCTCCCTTAGGTGACATTTTTCCCCAGTTGATACTTCCTTTTGGCTGGATAGATATTAACTAAAATGCTGTGTTATTTCCTTCCTAATTGGCATGACATCATGTATAGAATCACAGAAGATCCTGTGTTGAAAGGGACCCACAAAGATCAGGGAAATCCAACTCCTGACCCTGTTAGGCTTGATGCCGTGACCACTGCTCTGGAAAGCCTATTCCAGTGCCCATCCACCCACTGAGTGAAGAATCTATATCTAATATCTAACCTAAACCTCCCCTGACACAGCTTCATGCTGTTCCCTCAGGTCCTGTCACTGGACACCAGAGAGGAGATCAGTGGCCCACTCTCCACTTGCCCTCATGAGGAAGCTGCAGACCACAATAAGGCCTCCCATCAGTCTCCTCTTCTCCAGGCTGAACAAACCAAGTAGCCCCAGCCACTCCTCCTATGGCTTCCCCTCTAGGGCCTTCATCTTCATAGCTCTTCTTTGGATACTCTCTAATAGCTGTAGGTCTTACATTATGGTGCCCAAAACTGCACACAATATTCAATGTGATGCCACACCGGCACAGGGTAAAGCAGGACAATCCTCTCCCTCAGCTGGCTGGCGATGCTGTACCTGAGACATCCCAGGACAGCGTTGGCCCTCCTGACTGCCAGGACACATTTCTGACTCATATTCTGACTCTGTACATCCAGGGTTGCCCCATCCCAGGTGCAGAATCCAGCACTTGCCTTCATTAAACAGCTGTCATATAGCTGGTGGTTGCTCAACCCTCTCGTTAGTGTAGTCTGCAGGGCCTCTCTGCCTTTGAGGGAATCAACAGCTCCTCTCGATTCAGTATCATCAGCAAACTTACTTGGTGTACCTTCAAGTCCTGGGTCCAAGTCGCTTATGAAGATGTGGAAGAGCACTAGGTCTAAGAGCCCTGCAGAACTCAGTAGTGACCAGCCTGATGTAACCCCATTTGCTATAACCCTTTGTTCCTGGCCTGTCAGTTCATTAAACAGCTGTCATATAGCTGGTGGTTGCTCAACCCTCTCGTTAGTGTAGTCTGCAGGGCCTCTCTGCCTTTGAGGGAATCAACAGCTCCTCTCGATTCAGTATCATCAGCAAACTTACTTGGTGTACCTTCAAGTCCTGGGTCCAAGTCGCTTATGAAGATGTGGAAGAGCACTAGGTCTAAGAGCCCTGCAGAACTCAGTAGTGACCAGCCTGATGTAACCCCATTTGCTATAACCCTTTGTTCCTGGCCTGTCAGTTGCTCACCCATGACATCTCATGTTTGTCCATCTGTGTGCTGGACATTTTGTCCGGAAGGACATGAGAGACAGTACTGAAAGCTTTACTGAAATCCAGAAATCTACATCAGCTGTTTTCCCTTAATCCACTAAGGGGGTTACCTTGTCACGAAAGGAAATGCAGTTTGACAAGCAGGACTTTGCCCCCTCATGAAACTGTGCTGGCTGTGACCGATGACCACATTGTCCTTCAAGTGTTTTTCAGTACCTCCCAGAATAACCTTAATTTTTCCAAATGACTTGAACAATGGATTGGTTTTGTAGTAGCAGCAGTTTACATGATTTTGCCTTCTTTCAGTCTCGCTGCTAGATCTGACGTTTATTGTCCCTTTATATAAAAGGTGTTCAAGTGTCATATAACTCTGCTGCATTTGTGATGATGCAACTGTTAACCACAATACCACATTAAATCCTGCTATTATTCTTTTCTTATGAGGAGCTGCACTCAAAGCTGCATGTACAAAATACAGTGCTCTTAGTATATAATTTATAGTAGCAATAAGTAGCTTTTTCTCAGTGTGGCAGGAGGCACAATTTTAGCCAGTTAATGCATTGATAGTTCAGTTTTTAACTTACGGAGATAAATTTTTTTTTTCAATTTTCCTGTTATTTTATAATTCCCTTTTATAAAAACAATGTAAAAATTCTGCTTATGAATGTGTTCCTTTAATACGTTTTCCCCTATCACATCCTTAGCTAGAATTGTCTATTTCTATAGACTTAGTTTGTGTAAATGTGAAATAGTAGTAAAGAGTGACTGCATCATATGGACATTGATAAATGTTTCACTCTGCCATATTGCCCTGCAGTCCTAGTAAATTAGCCTTTCTTTTTAATGAACAGTTGTAGATGAGAATATTTTTGTTGGTTTTGATAATTCCAATGCATTCTTTCTTACAGCTTTTTCTGCAAGTTTCAGTCCCTTGGTTCAAGTTTCTCCTGGTTTATTAGATGAGCCTTGGTCAGAAAATGCTGAAAGTGGAGAACTTGTTTGCCAAAGTATTTTAAGCCGAACTTTTGAAGCAACCACATCATCACTTTCTGTATTCTGTTATGGTCTAGAAGGCAACCAAATTTCATGGAATTTTATGAATCCTTCTGAAAATTCTGAAGACCTTGCAGAAGACATGTCTGGAGAGCGTAATGATGTGAGTGGTACAAATGGAAGTGCTTTAGTAAACATTGATTCTTATGAGCCAGATAGCAGAGATGGAGAAGAAGATGATGGTCAAGACAGATATTCTTGGCTAAGAAGAACAGCAGGTCTAACTCAGGGAAGACTAGATAACATGCTTCCTCAGTGTGGAAAGGAGGTAGAGTCTCTTACTGGCTTACGATCTGGATTGTCTGCTCTCGACCAGAGTGTTTGTAGAGAAAGCAGTGATGAAGCAGGACCAATGTGTTTGGTATGTCCCAACAACAGGACATTTAAATCTGCTGAAGATCAAGCCCTAACAAAACATAACCTGAGTAGTGCCAATTATGAAACACAGCAAGTAAAACAAACTGTAGATATTGGAATTGGAAACTCTGTACCCATTTCTGATGTATTAACTGTCAATAGTGAAAAGACTGGCCAAGAAAACTCATCTGAGCTAGTAGTGAGACCTAAAATTAGAAAACAAAATAATACAAACCAATGGGAGGGAGAGGAACGTCTGCCTGATAATGATGATAAGGAGCTTGGTTGCTGGACAAGAGTTAAGCTTGCTGATACTCAGCCATGCCATCCTAAGTGTCCCTTTGCTGTCTCTGAGAACAAAGAAGAGATGACTTCTGATGTGTTCTTTCTCTCAAGTGTGTACAGTCATCAAAATGACACAGAAATAGACCAAAAAGAAGGTGCAGCAGCTCAAGAACAGGAAGATGATAGAGATGATAGCGCTCTTTCGGATCTGTTGGAAGACTTAAAGAATCGCTACTTAATGTGTCTCAATGATAGGGACAGGTAAAATTTCATTTTTATATCTGTTTCAATGTTGAATCTTTTGTGTAAATGGAGTGCAGAACTGAATGATATGTCAGCAAATGCAACATAATAACTTGAGGCTTTTCAGAATATGCTCAGATAACAAGGTGCCAGCTTTTTCTTTCAGTTCTTCAGTCATAATGTAAAAGGCCTTTCCTTATGGTTAGGGTCAAAGCATTGTATCAGTAAGGAAAGTAAGTGTTTCAACATGAGGAAGAACATCTTTACATTGAGGATGGCAGAGCACT